CCAAGGACAGCAGTAGGTATGAAATGGAGCTGGTCTGCATCTGTGAGAGGAGCTGTGTGTGAGGTGGACAGCAGAGTCGGAGAAGTGGAGCTGCGAGAGCCCTTTGGAGCCCAAAAGATCGTGAGTTAATCCCAGATGTCCAGCCTTGAGCTACTTTGCTGGACTTTGGTTTTGCTTAGGTGTGCCAGATTTTTCCCTTTGAAATAAGACAGTACTTGTTTTGGATTTTACAGAAGCCCACCCACAGTTAAGGGACTTTTGAAAGAGGCTGTGAACTTCTAGGTGTTTGGATTTCTTAAGGACTATGGGGCTTTTAAGGTTGTACTGTCTTATGTTATGATATTAATGTTAACATATCTTGGGGACAAAAATTGGGAAAGTTATGGTTTAATAGTGATGTGTCTGTGTGTCAAGTTGACAAGGGGTCAAATGTGCTGGTTAGCTTTAGTGTCAACTTGACACACCTGGGTTGAGGGAGCCTCAATTGGGGAATTCATTAGACTGGCCTGTGGCCATGTCCATGGGGCATCTTCTTGATTGTTGTGTGATGTGGGAGGGCCCAGCCACTGTGGATGGTGCCACCCCTGGGCAGGTGGACCTGTTTTGCATAAGAAAGGCTGGAAGCAAGCCAGTAAGCAGACTTCCTCCATGGCCTATGCTCCAGCTCCTCCAGGTTCCTGCCCCGAGTTCCTACCTTGGACTTCCTGCTGAACCTGGGAATGTAAGCCAAATAAGCCCTTTCCTCCCCACGTTGGTATTGGTCAGAGTATTTTGTCACAGCAATGAAGAAACAAACTGGGACATAGGTCTAGAGGCAACAATAACTTGGCCCTGAGGGATATCAGTTTTGTCCTGCTGAATGGGATTAGTTTCCTCAGGCAAGAGGGTGGAGGGTGGGTCTGCAGGGTATGGCAGTACATTCTCTGCTGAGGGTGGGGAGATTAATTCATCAGGTGAAGTAAATTCTTCAGACTCCTGATTCAAAACCCTCAGGGTTGTCCCACACATCTCCATCCCATGTGTTAGGATTCTAGTCTTTCCTACCAGTGCCCTCACCTTTACTGCTGACACTCTTCGAGGCTGAGAATTAAGTTTGCATTGTAGGTCAGCCAAACGTATAATAAGGGCTCCAGCTTGATTTTCTGCAGCTTTAGCTCTGACTGCTGGAGAGAAAGAGTCTCTTCCAGGGCACACTTGGAAACTTTTAAACTGTTGATTTGAATCTGGAGCTGGTCAATTTTATCATTAAGCTCATTGTTTATCTCTATCAGTTTATCCAGAGATGCTAGAAGTAACCAGCCAGCATCATTTCTCTTATTTTTCCACAAATTGTCAAATGTTTTATGTATAGAGTCACTAAATTTCTTGCTCATCACAAGAGGTGAGTTAGACTCAAATCCATTTATCTTCATAATTGTTTCAAATAGTCTGCACCATGGATTTTCAGTGCTCTCCATGCTACCTGAAGATGCGGGATTGGAGAGCCTGCTCCAGATACCAACAAGCCCATTAAAGAAATTCATCCTTTCAATTGTTTCTCTAGAATCCTACTGGAAATGTGCTTGGAATTTGGATTCATTTTCCACATAACTTTTTTTGGTATCTTAAAGTATTCATTCCTTTCCAATCACAACTCCCCTTTCTTTTGTGATAAATAGCCTTGAGTCTTCTAACTATTCCTCATATGATACCATTTTCATCATCTTGATTGCTCTCTACGGACAGTAAGATTGGTTAGTGTCCCTCCTAAAACATGTTTGGAACTGGAAATAATCAGTATGTAGCTAACTTGGATGTGAATATTGCACATCTGGACACTACTAGCAGCCTAAAGTTGCTGTGAGTTTTTTAGCAGTCATGTAATGTTGGCTTATAATGAATTTGCAATTAACTAAAATCCCAAGGTTTTAAACTGGAAGTTTGCCTTTATGTGACTTCATTCTAAATCATGTCTCCATTTTCTTTAGTTATGCAACAGATCTTTTTAAAACAAAATGTAAGACTATATTAATTTTACCTCACTAGCTTTTTATTAGGAACTGGGGTTGGGTAGATGGCTCAGTGGTTAAAACATACGATGTACAAGCATAAGGACCTGAGTTTGGATCCCCAGGACCTACAGAAATGTTGAGTGGGCATGGTGGCCGGCCTGTGATTCTGGAGGAAGAAACGGGATCCCCTGAGCAATCTGACTAGCAAGACTAGCTGTATCATGGACTCTGGGTTTGCTGGAGAAACCTTGTCTCAATGAATGAGGTGGAAGAGCAATGGAGGGTGATTCCCAGCATCAACCTTGGGTCTCCACATGCACAGACACAGATGTGTATTTAAACTTACACACATGCACACCCACATGCAAACATGCATATACACATGAAAATAGAAGTAAATTACTTGGCCTGTAGTGTAGGGTGTGGTGGTACATGCCTATAATTCCAGTACTCTGGAGGATTAGGCAGCAAGATACTGAGTTTGAGACCAGGCTAAGCTACATAATGAAACCTACAAACAAAAAGGAAAAAAATAAGTTACTTTCTAACTACAACTCTGTACCCATTGACCATCTGATTTCCATTCCACTCTTCATCCACGCTCTGGTAACTGCGTTTTTATCCTTCTATGAGATTAGCCTTTTAGCTTTCATGTGTCTGCTTGACATACTTCATTTCCTCTAATGTCATCTGTGTTGCTGCCAGTGGCAGAATTTCAGTCTTTTAAGGCTGAATATTATGTTGTATACATAGACTACATTTAGTCCATTCAACAGTGGTCCACTAAGCTTAGTCTGTATCTTGGTTGATGTAGCAAGAACAGAACTATAATCACTGTGCAAATACAGATGCTTTTTTGACATACTGATTTCAGTTCCCTTGAATTGGTAGCTCCTTTGTTAGATCTATTTCCAGTTGCTTGCTTTGTTGGTGTGTTGGTTTGTTTTTTGTGAGAGGGTCTCATGTGTCCCAAGCTGACTTCAAAACTGCTATATAGCAGAGGATGACTTTGAACTCCCAATCCTTCTGCTTCTACCTCCTTTACTGGGATTACAGGTGTTTTACCACACCCAGTTATGTAGTACTGAGGATTGAACCCAGGGCTTTAAACATGCTAGGCAAATACTGAATGACATCCCCAGCTCTGTTGTTAGATTTTGAAGAGCCTCCATCTGGGGTGCTGAAGAACTCAGTGCATAAAGTGCTTGGAATTGTGAAAACCAGAGTTTGGATCCCCAGAACCAACATAAAAGCTGGATGGACTTTGTAGCCTGCCTGTAATCCCAGAATGATGGAGACGGAGACTCCCTGGAGCAAGCTGGCTAGCTAGAATAGCCCAGTCAGTGAGCCCTGGGTTCACTTGAGATATGGAGCACACACACATGCATGCCCACCTGCATATGTACCTCCACACACAAACCCAAAAAACAAAAGAACCTCCATTTTGTTTTCCTTAATGGCTATGCTAGTTTACATTCCCATTCCTACCAACAGAGTACTGGAGATCCCCTTTGTTCACATCCTCAGCAGCAGCATTCCTTGGTTTTTTGTCTTTTGGGTTTTGTTTATTTTTTGGTCTTTTTGAGATAGGGTCCCCTGTAGCCCCAGCTGACTTGGAATTCACTGTGTAGAGGGAACTCACTATGTAGAGCGGGCTGGCCTGGCCTTGAACTCAGAGATCAGCCTGTCTCTGCCTCCCAAGTGCTGGGATCAAAGGCATGTACCACCACACCTGGCTCAGCTCAGTTTTTCTCTTAATTAATAGCTGTCCTAACAGGTGTGTGGTGATATCTTATTTTGGCTTTGATTTGCACTTACCTGATGTTTAGTGTGGTGTTAACATGTTTTCATGTACTGGCTGGTTCTTTGTACATCCTCCTTTGATAAATATCCAGGCTATGCTTCATTTTTAGATCAGAATCTTTAATTTTTATTGTTGAGTTGTTTGAATTGTAACCATTTGTTTATTTTGCATTTGGCAAACACTGAGGACAGTATCAGGCAATGTGGTAGATTCTGGAAAACCAGGTTTGTCTTGTAGCTAGGGTGGTAACCACATGCTCTATCTGGTTTGCCTAAGGCAGCCATGATTTATGCCTGTTGTCCCTGTAAAATTATTAGTAGCATCATTTTTCACATTCAGAAGTATCTGTGCTTGAAGAATAAATCATCTTGCCACCCTTTCCATAGCCCAGCTGACTCCTTTTAGTATGTTATTTGGCTTAAACATTACATAGTTGTAATTTGGCAGTTCTGATAAAGCTTCTAAATTCTCTTCCGTTAAAATAGATTGTTTTTTGACCAAGGGACATTAGAAAAATAATTGTGAATACTTTTGTTTTGCTAAGCAGGAAAGTAAAAATATTTTTAATTTATTCATTAACATTCTAAACATTTCACTTCTTTTTAAATAGTAAAAATTGAACAGTAATGCCTTGTATATGCAATGATCTGTTATAACAATTACGTAGAGAATTTAAGAACCTGTATATTTTGGTTCTTTCATGTTTTTCTAATTAATCATTTTACATGTTTAATATTTATAATAAATTCTGTGTCATAGTTTCAATATTTATATAAAATAAGCGCTTAAAACTGGTAATGGTGTTCTATTAGTTTACCTAATATGTTCCTTCAATAGAGAAAATGGGGCCTGGGGTTAAGGCTCATTGGTCAGAGCACTTGCCTAAAATGCAAGAGGCCCTGAGATGGCGATCCAGGATGGGGGGGAGGGGGAGGAGGGGAGACTAGGCTGCAGGTGTAGTTCATTGCCAGAGCATGTCCTTGGTCAGTATTTAAAGCCTTGAGTTCAATCCTTAACACAGAAAAAAAGAGAAAAGAAAAACAAACTTAAGTGTTGATAATGTAGAACTCTAGTATTTAGATTAAAAGGTCTTAGTGTACCATTATTTTTTATGTCACTAGTGGATAATTTGTAGCTCTTAATATCAGAAATATATTCATTATGTTTCACATTTCAGATTTCCTAATGTAATGTTCTCTTTTTAGAAAAGGTGGACAAGTCCTATTTTCAAGAGAAGATGACTTTTAACAGTTTTCAAGAATCTAAAACTTGTATACCTACAGACACCAATAAGGATGAAGAATTTGTAGAAGAGCTTAGTAGATTAAAAACATTCGCTAATTTTCCAAGTAGCAGTCCTGTTTCAGCATCAACATTGGCACGAGCAGGTTTTCTTTATACTGGTGAAGGAGATACCGTGCGGTGCTTTAGTTGTCATGTGGCAGTAGATAGATGGCAGCATGGAGACTCAGCAGTTGGAAGACACAGGAAAGTATCCCCAAATTGCAGATTTATCAGCGGCTTTTATTTTGAAAATAGTGCTGCCCAATCTACAAATCCTGGTGTCCAAATTGGCCAGTACAAAGCTGAGCAGTGTTTGGGAAGCAGAAATCATCTTGGTCTAGACAGGCCATCTGAGACTCATGCAGATTATCTTTTGAGAACTGGACAGGTTGTAGATCTGTCAGATACCATATACCCGAGGAATCCTGCCATGTATAGTGAAGAAGCTAGATTGAAGTCATTTCAGAACTGGCCAGACTACGCCCATTTAACCCCCAGAGAGTTGGCTAGTGCTGGACTCTATTACACAGGTATTGGTGATCAAGTGCAGTGCTTTTGTTGTGGTGGAAAACTGAAAAATTGGGAGCCCTGTGATCGTGCCTGGTCAGAACACAGACGACACTTTCCCAATTGCTTCTTTGTTTTGGGCCGGAATATTCATGTTCAAAGTGAATCTGATGTTGTAAGTTCTGATAGGAATTTTCCATATTCAACAAATTCTCCAAGAAATCCAGCCATGGCAAAGTATGAAGCACGGATCATTTCTTTTGGAACATGGATATACCCAGTTAACAAGGAACAGCTAGCAAGAGCTGGATTTTATGCTTTAGGTAAACTTAACCAATAAATTACTTTCCAGCCATCACAGGGCCCCTAGAAAGAAACCTCCTGAACTGGTAAATATTTAGGTATAAGCTTCTAGCCTTACCTATTATCAGCATCATCATTATCAGTATCATTCTCTGAATTCCTTTGTTAAATATGTAATGTAATTACTGAATTTATGTTTTTACATACATCTTATGAGTCATATTTGTATTCGTGTAATTGTTTTGGGGGAAGGTAGAAAGAGAAAAGATGATATAGATTCCTGATAGGTAAATGGGTCTAATAGTAATACTAGCTGTCATCTACTCTGTGGTCAAAATATATATTACGTGAATTTTCTCTTAAGCTTCACCACAACCCTGTAAAAATGTAATGTGAGAGAGTTTAGTTCATGGTAAATTAACATCAGGCTAAGCATGGTGCCTTACACCTATAATTCCAGCAATCTAGTGGCTGGCTGAGACAGGAGGCTGTTCTTAAATTTGAGACCAGTTTTGGCTATATAGTGGTACCCTCGCTCAAAAAACAACCAGCAAAAATGAATATCTTTTTAAAGCATATACTACATATTTGAAAGCTGCCCTGTATTAGCCTTACTGCTTCAGAATGTTTTTCAAATGGTTGCTGTAGATGTGTCAGGAAGGGCCATTAGGTGTGATGACTTCCAGGCACATTTTAAGTAGACATATCTGACCCATTTATTTTAGAATTAATAATACAAAATATAAATTACTTAAAATGTTTTCATTTATAAAACATATAGTAATCTTGTGGGGCGTGGTAGCACACGCCTTTAATCCCAGCCCTTGGGAGGCAGGCAGGTGGATATCTCTGTGAGAAAGAGGCCAGCCTGGTTTACATATGGAGTTCCAGGTTAACTGGGGCTACAGGGAGACCCTGTCTCAACAAAAAGGGGGAAGGTAGATGAAGGCAGGTACCAGTGCCCCTTACCCTCCCCTCCCCCACTCTGCACTCATACTGAGTCCTTGGCATGTGGCCCTGCATGTCAAGAGCCCAGGGTTCAGATGTCCTGGGGTAGATAGTATGGGAGAGAAGGCTGTAGAAAGAACTGTGGTTTGTATGTCTCTGTGAGTTCAAGGCCAGCCTGGTCTACATAGTGCGTTCCAGGCCAGCTGGGGCTACAGGGAGATCCTGTCTCAAAAAGACCAAAATATATATACATAGTAATCTTAAAGGTCTGTTTCATGTCATACAGCTATAACTTTAAAGAAACCTTGTAATTTATGCTGAACTTTATTGTTGTTAATATGTAGAATATAACTTGTAGAAGTTTCAGTTTGATGAAGAAAGTGTAATACTGATGACCCAAATGACATATACTTCTAGAACATAACAGTTGTACTTTCTAACATAAAAACTATTTTAGTTGTCTTCTGTAAAACACCCATATTCAGCCAGTGAATTTAGTGTGTATTTCCTCCTCAAATGAGAACAATCACCTCTAGATGTAAATGTGAATGTCTTCTTTTAAGCAGTGAGATTTTTATGTAACTTAGACATATTTGTTAGAGGCTAGAAGGGGTATTTTTCTGAAAATTTCCACAGATACACATTTTTATTTGTATGTCTTCTTAGGTGAGGGTGATAAAGTGAAATGCTTTCACTGTGGAGGAGGGCTAACGGGTTGGAAGCCCAGTGAAGACCCTTGGGAACAGCATGCTAAGTGGTATCCAGGGTAAGACATTTAATTTTTCATTCAATAATAGGCAAGTTGGGCAGTATGCAGTGGAAAGATTTGAATTACTTTTCACCTCAACTATTTTTGCCTTCACTATGACTTGATATTCACACCAGTTTGTAGAAATGAGGTCACCTACTTTATAGGGAACAAAACATCTAAGACTTCTCTGGTAACCAAAACATTCACTCTTTGTATATCATATGATATAGATGGTTCCATTTCTAAACACCAAGTTACAGCATGTGTACTTACTTTCTTTTGAGACAAGGCCTCACTATAGTCCTGCTTAGCCTTGAATTTGCTATGTAGACCAGACTGGCCTTCAACTCACAGAGGTCTGCATGCTTCTGTCTTTCTAATGCTGAGATTAAAGGTATATACACCCACTTCCAGTAATTATGCTTTTTTATTTGTTGGAAATAGGCACTTTTGTGATGGGCATGGGCCCATTGTGCCAAGAAGTCCTAAAGATACCATAATGTATATCACTGACTTTTTTTTTGAAACAAGGTTTCACACTAGCTCAGGCTGGCCTGGAAACTCACTGTATAGCCCAGACTGGTCTTGATATCAAAATAGTCAACTTGCCTCAGTCCCCTTGTCATCTTGCCTCTATAAAATAAAGTACTTGGGTATATAAGTGAAGTCTGTTTCTAATCTATAAAATATACAACTTAAAGCATCAGAATGATCATTTCAAAAGACATCTTAGCCTTAAAAACAACCTTAAAATAAAATTAAAGGTTGAAAATGAAGATTTTTTTTTTAGCTAGGTATTGTGACGCACGTTTTAATCCCAGCACTCAGGAGGCAGAGTCAGGTGAATCTCTGTGACTTCAAGGCCTTCTGGGGCTACAGGGAGACTCTGTCTCAAAAAGACAAAAAAAAATGAAAGAAAGAAAATGAAGATTTTTATATGTCCAGTATTAGTTAATCCTAGCCTTTTGGGAAGACTAACCATAAGGCTGGCGATATGGTTCAGTGGGTAAAGGTGTTTGTCTCTCATAAGCCTAGCAATCCAAGTTCAATCCAGATCTCAAGTAAAGGTAGAAGAACGAATTGACTCCACAAAGTTGTCCTCTGATTTCCACATGTGCACTATGGCACATGCACCCCCACGCACACATCATGCAAGTGCATATGTGCACATACCAAATTTTTTAAGACGTATTTTTTATTTTATGTTATGTGTATGAGTGTTTGCCTGTGCGTATGTATATATGCCATGTGTTTACCTGGTACCCTCGGACAGCATCAGATCCCCTGAAACTAGAGTTACAGATAGTTGTGACCTGCCATGTGGGTGCTGGAAACTAAACCTGAATCCTTCGTGAGAGCAGCAAATGGTCTTAACATCTGAGCCATCTCTCTAGTCCCGTGCCCAGTTTGTTTTTTTTTTTTTTTGTTTGTTTTTTTTTTTTGTCTTTTTTGAAACAGGGTTTCCCTGTAGCCCAGCTGGCCTGGAACTCACTATGTAGACCAGGCTGGCCTTGAACTCAGAGATTCACCTGCCTCTGCCTCCCAAGTGCTGGGACTACAGACGTGCGCCACCACACCATGCCCAGCTTTTTAACATGGGTTCTGGAAATTTACCTTAGGTCCTCTTGCTTGTTTAGTAGCACTTTGGTGACTGAGCTATCTTCAACCCCAATAAATTTTTTTTAGAAAAAGATTTTTGTTTTTGTTTTTTTGAGACAGGGTCTCAATATAGACCAGGCTGGCAAGGAATTCAGTATGAAAGCCAAGAATGGGCTTGAATTCCTGGTCCTCCTGACTCAACATCCCGAGTGCTGGTAGTTAAGGTGTGCATCACCACATGCAGCAAATGACTTTTTTTGAGACAGGATCTTGCTATGTAGCCCAAGCTAGCTTGGTTTTCGTGCTAGTCTTCCTGCCTCAGCCTCTTTAAGTGCTAGGATTACAGGCATGCAACCACCTGATTCAGTAACTGTTTCTTGAAAGCTTTCAAGTTGATATTAGGATGAGGAGCATAACAAAGGAGTATTATTTTCACCTTGAAATAGCAGCTGGATAGGGAATTGGGTAGCATTTTGTGTTGTAGCTCCTTAGAAATAACAAAGCTGAGACTATAATCTCAGCTACTTAGAAGTCTGATAAGGGAGGAGGATAGAAATTTCAAGGCCAACCTGGGCAATTTAGCAAGACCTTGTCCCAAAATAAGTTATAAAAAAGGGCTGAGGTAGTCCATGCCTATGCATAATCATAGCATTTGGGAAATGGAGACAAGAATGTTGGGAGTTCAAGGTGATCTTCTGCTACATAGCAAGTGTGAGGCCAGCTTGGACTCCATGAGACCTTGTCTCAAAAAAAAAAAAAAATGTGGGGCCAGGCATGGTAGCACACTCCTTTAGTCCCAGCACTTGGGAGGCAGAGTTAGGCAGATCTCTGTGAGATCAAGGCCAGCCTGGTCTACATAAGCAAGTGCTAGGCCAGCTGGGGCTATAGGGAGACCCCGTCTCAAAAAGACCCCCCCCCAAAAAACCCAAACCAAAAGGGTGGGAACTGGCAGTACAGCTTACACAGCTTACTGATGAAGTGCTTGTTTAGCACAGACATGGCCCTGAAGTCAATCCCCAGCAACACAAAAGAAAGGAGAAAGGAAGGAAGAAAGAAAAGGTGGTTTTAAATTATCTTTGGGGGAGGTTGTAGTCCCATGGTGCTCAAGTGGAAGTTAGAGCACAACTTGCAGGAGTTGATTCTCTCATTTCAACATGTGGGTACTGGGGATTGAGCTCAGGTCATCAAGCTTGGTGGCCAGTTCCTTTACCCACTCAGCCATTTCTCTGGCACCAAAAAGGTCATTAATGGAATTGATATGATGGAGTCTAGTTTTATTAATACTTAACTAATTTATCAGCTAAGTAGAGTGTAATTTTCTTTCATCATTTAGGTGTAAATATCTATTGGATGAAAAAGGACAAGAATATATAAATAATATTCATTTAAGACAATCACTCGAGGAATCTTTGGTAAGTCCTCGGTGTTTGAAAACATAGGTTTTCAAACATTATGTCATTTGTTTTCTGATTGTTTATTCATGTAAAATGCACGGTGTGCTATTGCAATTAATATGTAGTAAGCTTTAAAGGGGATAACTTGGAGATAGCTTCTTAACATTTATCCCTGAAGTAAATATGTGAAAAGAAAATCAAAATGAAATAGTTTAATTATCACTTGGTCAAAACAGGGTTGAAGTACTTAAAATACTGAAATCCTTTAGTGTGAAATTAGACTTTTAGATAATGTGTTTTGTACTCATAACTAGTTTTTACCTTTTTGTAGACAGTACTTAAAATCACAAAATAAAGATGGTTATGTACCTCATTTGTGTAAGACAATAAGAAATAAAATGTACCTGAATTGATACATTGGGAGGAGGTGGTCAAGGCATTATAAACTGTGGGAGAGCCCTGAACTAGAATGGGTTCTAGAGTTGCCACAGGGGCTCTGCCATTAGCACTTGCTGCTGCTGCTGTTGCTGCTGCTGCTGCTGTTTTGCCTCCTAGAAGTCATTTGATCTTGACCCTTGGCTTCTTGTCTATAAACTGATGCCCATTGGATTAGATGGTCTTTTAACTTCCTTCTGTTCCATCAGTTTATGCCTTTTGTTAATATTCATGTTTTTAATTAGAATAAAGCCAATTTATTTCAAATTTATAATTAGCTTTTCAAATGGAAGTAATTGCTTTCTACTAAGATGAGTTCTTACCATTCATATTTCTATTTTAGGTAAGAACTGCTGAAAATACACCATCACTAACTAAAAGAATTGGTAAGTATGCTTATTAAAATAAATGTACCTTTATTTTGCTGCTAATTTATTATATTTGTTATTTGTGGGGTAAAAAATCCTTTCAAAATCATTATAGGATGTTTATTATAAATGAGGTTGTTCTAAATGTAAAAATTTAATGAAGTACATACATATATATTGTTTGTTGGTTTGCTTGTTTATTTATTTTGAGACAGGGTCTCTGTAGTCCTGGTTGGCTTAGAGCTCCCTATATAGACCAGGTTGGCCTTGAACTCACAGAGATCACCATCCTCTGCCTTGCAAGTGCTAGGATTAAAGGTATGCACCATCACTCTGGGCTGAAGTGCTAATTTTAGTTCAGATATTTCTATAATAAGAATGGTAGATCTGTACTAAGATTATAGTAAAAATGGACATAGCCAGATGTGGCAAACCTATAATCCTAGCAGTCAGGAGGTTAAAGCAGGAGAATTCCAAGTTTGAGGCCAGCTTGGACTGTATAGCAAGACCTTGTCTCAAAAAAATAAAATCAAATAAAAAACAAAGTTAGCAATGCAAATACTACATTAAGCAAAAAAAGGTAATGGAGTGTTTGAATTTTTGTTTTTGTTATTTTTTAGAGAGAGTCTTACGATTTAGCACAGGAGGGCCTAGACCTCTCTGTCTTCTTGCTTCAGTCTTTTTTTGAGTTCTGCCTTTATAGGCGTGTATCACCACACCCAACTAAAGCAGATAATCATGGTGGTTTATTTGTTTATATTTTTAGTGCTGGGGATAGAACCCAGAACCTTGATAATGATAGATAAGCCCTCTGACTGATCTACATCCCCAGCAAAGATATTGTTATTCTCATTTTTCAGCTGAAGAAACATGTTATATGATCTACTAATGGTCACATAAATTGTTATCAGAACTAGAACTGTAAGCAAGGTCTTCTGAATCTCATATACTGTAAATTCTCATTTTTTTCTGAATCTCATATCACACTATAAATCTCTTTTTCTTTTTTAGATCCCATTTTTCAATTTAGGCAGCATGTTTCAAAAATAGAAAGTTTAATTTAGAATGTCTGGTGATTCCCTAGTCTCTGTGCTGGTAACATCATCTATTTAGTATCTTAGCGATTACAAAGCAGAATACTACATATATTCATAAATGTGTTTGAAATGCAGAACTACTTTGATATTATTTGGCATGGGTTTTGCAGCAGGCATAAATAATAAAGTAAATCATTTTTTTTTCTAGCTCATTTTTTTCAGTTATTCATGGAAAAACAAAGAATCTAGAGCTAGAGTTGTATTTCAGTGATAGAATGCTTACTTAACATGTAAAAGTTCAATCCCAGTACCACAAAAACAAAGATTCTATAATATTTCTCAAATAATATTTGTTATTTAGTTACCCTTACGATGCATACTTTTCTATTTATGACTAATGAGACTCTTGCCTTGGCTTTGGTTTAAGGTTTAAAGATTGAAATACAGCTCAAATAACATAAATTTTAACTTGATAAAGTGTGTGACATGATGTTTTGTAGTATATTCTACAGGGTGTACAGACATCACTCTATTTAATTGCGCGCCATTGTCATGACTCCCCATACCCACCGATCAGCAGTCATTCCCCATCCTACCACTAGTTCCAAACATTAATCTACTTTCTTTATGGTTTTGCTTATTTGGGACATACAGTATATGTTGAATCACATACTGTGTGGCCTGAAATGTCTCTGTATTGTGAGTGCATCAGTCTTTGAAACTTTTTGTTTATTCTTTTGCTGGGGGGCGATCTTTTTGAGAAACTCGCTTTGTAGACCAGGCTGGCCTTGAACTCATAGAAGTCTGCCTGCCGCTGCTGGAATTAAAGGCTTGTGCCACCACGCCTGACTCCTTTTTTAAAATTTATTCTTAAAAAATTAATGTGTGGAGCTAGAGAGATGGCTCAGCAGCTAAGAGCACTGACTGTTCTTGCGGAGGACTTGGGTTTGATTCCCAGCACCTACCTGGCAGCTAACAGCCATCTGTAACTCCAGTTCCAAAGGATCTGGTACCCTTTTCTGACCTCCAAGGGCATTGCACAACTTGGGTGCACCTACCTACATGCAGGCTTTACACGCATACACATAAAATAAAAATAATATATAAAAGGAAAAATTTAAATTTATGTATATGAGTGTTTTGCCTGCACATATTTAAGTGCACCACATGCATGCAGTGCCCACAGAGGCCAGAAGAGGGCATCAGATCTCCCAAACTCGAGTCATGGACAGTTGATTGCCACCATGTGGGTGTTGGAAATCAAACCCATGTCTTCTATAAGAGCAGGCAGCGCTCTTAATTCTGGGTTGTCTAGCCCATTTTTGTTTTTTGTTCTGTTTTGTTTTGAGACAGGGTTTCATTTATCCTGGGCTGGCCTTGAGCTTAGTATATAGCCAAGGATGATGTTGAAATTCTGATCCTCTTGCCTCAATCTAATTGCTGAGGTTACTGGTGTGTGCTACCATGCCAGGTTTATGTGTTGCTGGCAGATTGAATTCGGGGCTTCATGCATGCTAGGCAAGTACTCTTCCAACTGAGCCCCATCCTCAGCCCCTTAGCACTTTCTTTGCACTATTTTTCAGTCTTCTTTTTTTCTTTCCAACTTTAGGAGCCCATTCCAGGCTATTAACACATAGTACGCATGCACTCTACCACTGAGCTACACACCAGCCATATCATAGTCTTTTTAATTTAAATTTTTATTTTATGTGTATGAGTGTATTGACTGCATGTGTGTAAGTGCACCCGTGTCATGCAATGCCTGTGGAGGTCAGAAGTAGGCGTCAGATTCCCCTGGAACTGGAGTTATGGACAGTTGTTAGCTGGTATGTGGGTGCTGGGAATCAAACCCAGGTCCTTTGTAAGAGCAGTCAGCGCTCTTGACCACTGAGCCATCTCTCCAGCCCCTTATAGTCTTTAAAGGCCCTAAACTGTTTTATTGTTGAGTTCCATTAACGAAAATGTTTGTTTTTTTCCTCCCAACTTTCATTTCAGATGATATAGTCTTCCAAAATCCTATGGTACAAGAGGTAATCCGAATGGGATTCAATTTCAAGGACATTAAGAAAGTAATGGAGAAAAAAGTTGAAACATCTGGGAGCAGCTATGTATCACTTGAGGTTCTGGTTGCAGATCTAGTGAGCGCTCAGAAAGAGAATTCAGAGGATGAGTCATGTGAGACTTCATTGCAGAAAGGTAGGCATTAATCTCTCATGAAAAATTTCGAACATCCATAGAAGTGGAGAGAACTGTACAGCACACTGACAACTCCCTCCATCATTCAGCATTCAGCTTCAATAATCAGCAGCTCTTTTCCAGTCTTGATTATTACCTTCCTTGTCAAGCCACACTTACTTTAAAGTAAATACCAGATATCCCGTCTACCATTGTCTACAGAGACTTCAATGTATATTCAACAGCTCAGGATGGTTTTTAAACATGCCCTTAATGCTGTACTTCTTAGGCTGCTATAACAAAATACCAAAGACTGGGTGGCTTAAACCATAAGCATTTGTTTTTCACAAACTAGGAAGACCAAAATCAAGGTACCCCATTCCTATGAGGGCCCTTCAGATAATTACCTTCCTAAAGTGGCATATATAAGTTCATTCTCCTTTCTTCCTCTACTAATAAGCATGCTAACTCCTTCAGGAGCTCTCAAGCATATGACTTCATCTAAACCGAATTGTAGTCATGTATTGCTCAGTAAAGGAGTATGTTCTGAGAAATGTGTGAGACAATCTTATCATTGAATAAACATCAATGTATATAGTCAAACAAACAGATGGCATAGGCCAACTACTTCGTGTGGCCTCTTGATGAAATCCAGATGCTTTCTAAACATGAAGTATATTCTGAGACTTTTAGCATAATACTGCATGCTGTTTTAAGATAATTTTATTTATATGCAGAAGTATATTCTAACAAAGTAGTAAGATAAATGCATAAACCAATAATGTAGTCATTTGTCATCAAGACATTACTTTTTGCTATATTTTGATATGACTGGCAGCCCAGTAGGTTGGGTTATACCAGCAGCACCACAAACATGATATTAGTTGTTTGATATATGACTGGATGATAGGAATTTTTCAGCTTCCTTATGATCTTTTAGGGTAGATATGTGTTCTCTGGTTTATTGGAGCATTGTGTGGTAGTAATATGGCTGTGCTAGATAAAGCCCCACCTCCAAATACCACCATATGGAACATTAGGGCTGCAGCATAAGAATGTTAGGGACATAATATGTTGTTATCAGACTTGACAACATTAATTCTGTAAGATCATCAGAAGCCTACTTGCTTTTAATATCCCTCCCTTTTATTTCCAGTGCTGGGTGAATACAGGGCCTGACATACGTTAAGCAAGCAATCTACCTGTGAGCTACACCCCTAACCTCTCAAGTTTGAAGCATTTTTTTTCATTTGATTAATTTTAATAAAGATCTAAGATTCGCCATTTTATTCATTTTAATGTCTTAATTATATAATATTAATTATACATAATAGGTTTCATTCTATTTCCAATACGTGTACATAATGTACTTGTATCATATTCACAACCCACTCTTCCACTCCCAAGTGCTTGGATTACAGACTTGCACCACCACACCTGGTTTCCAAGGTGCTCAGAATCAGAACCTATGGCTTTGTACATGATAGACAAGCACTCTACCAACTAAACTACATTCCTAGTCTTGACTGATTCATTTGAAATGTATTAGTTATTTTGGACAACAGTGGCTTTTATCATTGTGTGTAAAATCTGTAAGTTTATAAGTAAAACAGATTGGTTTTAAAGTGTTTTGCACCTGGATTCCCATCCCTATCATTGCCTTACCCTACCCCCACCCCTCCAGGGGAAAAAGTGTCTTCAAATAATTCTCATTGAGGCCAGATTTGGAAAACATTCGTATACAGTATACAAAGATAGTTAAAATAGGGGCCTGGTATGGTGGTGCATGCCTTTAATCCCAGCACTTGGGAGGCAGAGGCAGGTGAATCTCTGTGACTTCAAGGCCGGCCTGGTCTACCTAGTGAGTTCCAGGACCACTGGGGCTACCAGGGTGACCCAGTCTCAAAAAGGACAAAAAAAAACCCAAAGATAGTTAAAATATGTATTGTATTTATCTTCTGTTACTCCTGACTACTGATGCTGTTATTAAAATTATGTGTGACCACAAAACAGAATTTTGTGGCATATTAGCATTTTCATAAAATCTGTTCAGGGGAAGGTTAAATTCAACTACTTCAGTGTCTCCTATATCTAATGATACCCAAATCTTTATCTCTAGCTCTGACTTCTGACCTTCAGATTTGACTCTGCAGTTGCTGACTGGTTATTTTTGTTTGGATACCCCGCCAGCACGTCAAAAATACTTGAAAATGTCAAACCTGTATCTCCTTCTATATTTCCTATAGTTCTCGCCATCTCCTTGTCAGCCACATTAACGAATTTGAAATCAACATTAGTTCCTCATTTTCTTTTCAGCTCTCACATCCAGACACCGAATCCTCTTGTTCCACTTGCGCCAGTGTCCTTCAAATGGGTCCTATTATGGAATTAAGCATGCCCTTTCCATGTGCTACTTTTTTACCTCATTCTTTCTTTTCTGATGGGCAAATTTGTTGCCCATGCTTACTATCACTCCTCTACTGGCCTCCTCCTTCCGGTGGCACCTTCCTCCAATCAGCCTGGACAGACAAACTTGTTCTTCTTGTCTCAGAGCACTTTATACATAACTTTATTATAGCACTTATCACTTTGTACTTTGTACTTAACCTCTTCAGCCACATCTCACCACCTCTCCCACTAGGATGCAGGCTATTTAAGAACACATGCCATGTGTGAGTCATCTTCATGTCTCCCAGTACTTGAGTGTCTGGCACACAGGAGGGCTTCAAGAAGTCTTTTGATGACTTTACACAACTAAAAATCTAAAGTTGGTATGTATTTTTCTCTTTGTGCAGGGATTAGTACTGAAGAACAGCTAAGGCGCCTGCAAGAGGAGAAGATTTGCAAAATCTGTATGGATAGAACTATTGCTGTAGTGTTTGTTCCTTGTGGCCATCTGGTCACTTGTAAAGAATGTGCTGATGCTGTTAACAGATGTCCCATGTGCTACACAATCATTACGTTCAAGCAAAAAATTTTCATGTCTTAATCCAGCGCCACAGTAGGCATGTTATGTTCTTATTAATCTAATTGAATGTGTGATGGGAACGATCTTTAAGTAATCAGCATTGAATTCCATTAGCATCTACTCCCAAGTGGAAACAAACGGTAATGGCACTGTTTCAGTCCGAATTTTGAATTTCTAGATTTTTCGGGTTATTACCTATGTCATTCATTTATCCAGTTTTTTTTATTATTTAGTCGAAACTCTACAGTAAGAAGCATTTTATAAGTGATCACAATGTGTATGTGTACTACACTGACAGTTTCTATGTCATCTGCATTTTTCATTCCTTTTGGGTAAACTTAATAAATGGAGCATTCTGTATAAGTGTGGAGATTAATCTGGTCAGTCATATAACTTGTTTAGTGTGAACAAGGAAACACAACAGTGTTGAAAAGATAGATATTATTTTTAGATGTTTGTGTTTTAGAATTGTTTAATTTCTTTTAAAATTATGCATATACTTGTGTGAATGACCTTTTTTTAAGTGTTTTTGCCATCTCCAAAAAGATATATAATGATACACTACCAGTTAGCCTTCATGTGCTGACATGGAAAGATGTCAATGATAGATTAAGTATAAAATACAAGTGGCAAAACACTGTATAGTTTGAGCCAAATCAAAGTGTGTGTATTTTGTATCTGTATAGGACAAAAAGATTTGGGAAGATATGCACCAAACTGTTAAATGTGTTTTTGTTTTCTTGAGGGGGGTGGGGGGATGGGAGAGGGTCCTAGAGGGGCTTATGGGGCCCTTCACTTTTTTCATTTTGTTCTGTTTGAATTTTTTATATGTATGTATTACTTTTATAATCAGAATTTTTAGGAAGTATTTTGCTGATTTAAAGGCTTAGGCATGTTCAAATGTCTGCAAAACTACTTATTGCTCAGTTTTAGTTTTTCTAATCCTAAAAGGCAGGGACGTTAACCTTGTTGGTGCCAATGTGAAATGTAAATGTTTTGTTTTACCTGCTTTGTGGATGGAAAATATTTCTGAGTGGTAGTTTTCTGACAGGTAGACCATGTCTTATCTTGTTTCAAAATAAATATTTCTGATTTTGTAAAATGAAATATAAAATATGTCTCAGATCTTCCAATCAATTAGTAAGGATTCATCCTTAATCCTTGCTAGTTTAAGCCTGCCTAAGTCACTTTACTAAAAGATCTTTGTTAATCCAGTATTTTAAACACCTGTCTGCTTATGTAGGTCAAAGTAGAAGCATGTGTGTACACTGCTTGTAGTTTTAGTGGCCGCTTTCCTTGTTGAGATTCTCATGTCATTTTGTATCTTAAAAGTTTCATGTGAGTTTTTACTGTTAGGTCAGTTAAGATGTATATAGGACAAAATTCTTAAGTCTTTAATCGTTTTATATTTGTTTCTTGACTAGTAATAGTAATAAATACTTTAAAAATGTTTCCTCAAGATCATTAAAACCTCTTGGAAAGTATAAAATATGACGAGTAGTTTAAAGATTTTTTAAAGAACCTTTTAAGAGTCAATATGAATAAAAATGGAAGTTAAAATGCTTCATAGAACATGCAGGATTTACCTAAAAACATTATCAAGACAGACCTCTTGTAGAGACTGGTACATTTTACTACAGAGAACAGTTTGGGAGTGAAACTGTTAAGAATTAGATTTTTGCTGTATTTTCTAAGAGAAAGAGTATTGTTAGGTTCTCCTAACCTGCTGATTACTGTGGTAAATGATATTATATTTAAAATATTCCAAATTTAAATAGGAATTAGCAAAATTAAATAATGACTGCATTTTCCCCTCTTTTTTGGTAAAAATCTTCAGTTCTTTTATTGTCTTCTACTTAGTTTCAATTCTGTAGTCATTAAACTGAACTTACTCTATATTGGCTAAGGCTTAAATTTACGTATAAAGCATTCTACAAGGGGACAAAAGTGTTAATATTTTTTCTAAATGTTGTCCAGGATACTTCAGCTCCAAGTCGTGTAGATATCTAATCTAGTTGGCCAAGGACTCAAGGACTGAATTGTTTTAGCATAAAGCTTTTCCTGTTCTGGGAGCCTCAGTTTGTTAAAACTCTTCTTTTAAAACTTGTGTGCTTAGAGTTAAGCAAGACCTCCTTTTTTGTCTTCATGAGTTGTGAAACTTAATGCATGAAGCTGATGTAGCTAACAGGTTTATTTTAAGAATTGTTTAGAAACACTGTTGCTTCAGGTTATTAAAAATCACAACAGCACTCCAACTCGTAATCATATTGTTGGAGATTTACCAAAGTTGGTCTGTGAGCACACTACGAAAAAAACACTGGATTTTTTCCATATTGCTATGCAAAAATTGATCACTTTTAAGGTCAAAAATACAATCTGAATCACCACCCCTGAAAGTTCTCAGTAACCACATGTTCATGTTTCCTTTTTTATGTAAAGTTCACACTAGGATTTTGAATCACGACCTATTTTACTCCATATTAGTCATGTGAAGACTGAAGTTATTTTGTAATAGTTTATTTTTTGTAATAATTTAGTGTTGATCAAAAGCTTTTTCTTAATTTTTGTGAAAGTGTTTAGCATTAATTTAGTATATAACAGTTTATCAATGGCTTTGTATTGCTTTTTCTGCTAGATTTGTTTTCCCCTTCCTTTAGTTCAGGGTGGAGGTGGAGTGTAGTAAGTGTGTATATGTTTTTTTTGTTATACTATTTACATTTTGTATTTTTTTCCATTTTCATTTTAGTGGATAAAGTTTGTATCTTGAATTCTGAATGGAAACTACCACCCCAGTATTAACTGCATATCTTGTTCCCATTAGACACAAATCATTATTTTATTTCTTATTACCCAGGTACTGAGTAAGGAAAGAGGAGGAGAGGTTAGGAGAAATTAGGTAGGTCATATGTCATTACCATTAGAGAAAGAAAGGAATATTTGATAGATAACATTTTATTCAAGTCTGCTCTTTTACAAAACATAGCCATCAGTGGAGGCGGGGAGTTCTTGCCACACAAGCTTCACAATCTGAGTTTTGATCTCCAGAACACACATAAAAGCTGGACGAAATAGCCCAAGCATCTATAATCCCAGCATGCCTACAGGAAACATGAGAAGCAACAGGAAAAACCCCAGAAGCTCTAGAGTCAGCTAGTCTGGCTTAGGCAGTATCAAAGACACCCTTTCTCAAACAAGGTGGAAAGGTGAGGACCTACTGACACCTGAAGGTTGTCCTCTGACCTCCACACTTACACCACAGCAGGTGCGAGCCTGCACCCACAAACAGAGAGAAGCCTGGGGCTGGAGAGATGGCTCAGCGGTTAAGAACACTGATTGTTCTTGCAGAAGACCCAGGTTCGAATCCCAGCACCCACATAGCAGCTAACAACTGCCTGTAACTCCACTTCCAGGGGTTCTGACACCCTCTTCTGTCCTCCGTGGGCATTGCATGACACGGGTGTTCTTAACTACAGGCAGGCAATACACGCATTCACATGAAAATAATAAAATATTTAAAAACAGAAAAACCAAACCAGCCATTTTTCTTCTGTAAAATTGATTTTACATCTTCAGTGTCTACAGTATTTCACATCGTACAAGATTACAGAGTTCAAGGAGAATATCTTGTAAAAACACCTGCTGTAAATGTTGACAGTCATCCTAAAACCCTTATACCCCTATATGGGTTTGCCTTGATCTCAAACTTTGGACTAATTGTAAAAGTTTTACATGATAACTTTTAGTCATGGTTACCTTTCTGGGTGCTCAAAATGAAGCTATAAATTACGATTAATAAGTCACTCCTTTTAAAGTATTTAAATCATTTTTTAAACACTAGAAAATATATTTTGTTTTACATGTATGTGTGTATTGCCTGCATACATGTAAGTGCCCCCAGAGATCAGAAGAGGGTGTCTGATCCCCCCTGGAACTGGAGTTATGGACAGCTGTTACCCGTCATGTGGATGCTGGGATTCGAACCATGCTCCTCTGCAAGAACAGCCAGTGCTCTGAACAGCTGAACCATCTCTCCACCTCCCAGAAAAAAATACTGAGCTCAGTTTAGCTTTCCTAATAGAAATAATTGACTAATTCCCACCCTAATAAGTTTAGTTTCACTCTTACGCATTTAACATAATGTAGATTTCTTCCTTAAAATAATGGTCACAGAATGTCAGAAGTGACTTTAGAGAATAGCTTACTGGTCTCCCTCATTTTATATTTGTGGCAACTGAGGCTCAAATGAAAGGTCACTAGTTCAAGGCTATATCACTAACTAGTAGCCGAGCTCTGACTGGGACGTCAGAAGAGGTAAAACTTCACCAAACTACCTGTCCTGGCAGTCTCAAATGTTTATTTTTCAGCTGTTCTATGCCATAACTTTAACTACAAATTAAATGATACTTTATAATTGATACCCTATGACAATCTGAAATACATCTTCAAATTAAACTGACACTAATGCTTGGGTGGTTAGGTTCTGTTTTGAAGGCTGAAGTTTGCAGATACGCACACAGATTTTTTGGCATTTACTAGGTGCTTGTTGTGTACATTAGTGTGACATTTAAAATTCCCATGTAAGTACATTTTACAATTCTGTCTGTACTTAGCAACAAATTTGCATTTTTGATTTGATGTAACCAAGGCTTTAATGTAATTTGTTAGTTCGCATTTTTTTTCATTGTTGTATTTCACCTGACAGGATGACGATTCTTATGTCATTATATTAGTGTTGTGAATAATTTTGTTGAATGTTTTGAGACAGAGTACTATATTTGTGAATATAATTGTATGGCTTTTTTCATTAGTAGGAACCTTTCCATCAGTATGGAAAATTAAGAAAATTTCTTTCTGCTGTATGATCTGGCATTTGTAGATTAAAGCTTATTTTTCTGTGAATAAAGCTTACTCAATAAAGCACTATTCTTTAAAATGTTATCTTCTTACTTTGTATTTGATTAACTTCTAGTGTTTTGAGACAGGATCTCATATATCAACCCAGGCTTATGACTTCAAACTCACTATTTTTTTTAAAGTATTTTATTATTTATTTTATGTATATAAAGTGTGTTGCCTTTTTGTGTTAGTGCACCCATGTTATGCAATGCTCATGGCAGTCAGAAGAACGCGTCAGATACCCTGGAACTGGACTTGCAGATGGTTGTTAGCTGCCATGTGAGTGCTGGGAATCAAACCTGGGTCCTCTGCAAAAGCGGTCAGTGCTCTTAACTGCTGAGCCATCTCCATCTCCTTCAAACTCACTGTGTAACTGAGGGTGACCTTGAACTGTATGTGACCCATGTGTATTAGACTTTTTTGTTGCTGTGATAAACCACCATGACCAAGGCAAGTGAATAGGAAGAATGTATAGGGCTTACAGTTACAGAGGGATGAGTCAGACCCATCTTGTTGAGGAAGCATGGCAGGAGGTGGGGGCAGAAAGCTGAACATTCACATCTTAAAGCAGGTACAGGAAGCAGAGGGAGCAACTGGAAGTGGGACCAGGCTCTGAACCCTCAGCCCACCCCCACTGACAGGCTTTCTCTAGCAAGGGCAAACAACCTAGGGATTCCATGACCATTCCAAAAGAGTGCTACCAACTGACCAAGTGTTTGAATATTGAGCCCCTGGGGGACCCTTATTCAAACCACCAAACCCTGCCTCCTTAGTGTTGGGATTACCTATTTTACGCAGCATTGGGGACCAAACCCATGGCTTTGTGCATACTAGGCAAATACTACCAACTGATCCATATCCCAAGCCCTTGTTTCACTTCCTTGAAAAAATAGACCCATCTTAAAAAATAACGTTTATTGGCCAGGTGTACTCCCAGCCCTCAGGAGAGAGAGGCAAGTAGATCTCTTGAGTTCAAAGCCAGCCTACTCTACATGGTGAGTTTCAGGTCAGCCAGGGCTACATAGATCCCAACCTCCCCACTCCCCCCCCCCGTAAAAAAAAAACACAAAAATACCTGTTTATTGTATGTGGATGTCAGGCTTGCTGACAGGTGGCTATTAGCTACTAAGCCATCTTGCCGGCCCTACATAGCAGTTCTAAGTGTAATTCTAATGAGTTCTGGGCCATTTTAGGTTACATAGCAAGGCATTCTCAAACAAGCAAATAAACTCACCATAGCTTTCTTAAAAATATTTAGGTGGAGTGGGGGAGGGGTCAAAGAGATGACACAGTAAAGAGCGCCTCTTGCAGAAGACCAGAGTTTGGTACCTAATACCTGTTTTGGGCAGCTCACCTGTAAGCTCCAGCTCCAGGGGATCCGCTTCCTCTGGCCTCCATGGGCACCTGCTCACACATACACATAATTAAAAATCTATATTTTGAGACCAGGTTTTACTGTGTAGCCCCAGCTGGCCTGGAATTTGGCTATGTAGATTAGACTCGCCTCGAATTCACAGAGATCCTCCTTCCTCCCAAGTTTTGGAATTAAGGCAAGTGCCACCATGCTTGGCAAAAAGATAAATCTTTTAAAAATATATCAAAATGAAGCCGGAAGTGTAGCTCAGTGGTACAGGGTACATATGTACCAGAAAAAAAAATTATAAAAATAGCAAAGCTTCAACAAGCAAATAGGCTGAAAAACCATCGTCCCTTTGACACAGGCAAGCATATTGTTCAGTTTCAGGACCTGAGAGTAATCTAATACAATGCAGTCTAATACAATACAGTCTCCTTAGACCGAATTTAGAAGTAGATATTTCAAGTGACTATTGCTTTGCCCCTTCTAGTCCACAATGCAGGTTCCTAAATGAAGAATTATATTTCAGCTGAATAGTAGCGGGTGCCTTTACTCCAGCATGTGAGAGGTAAAGACAAAGAGATCAAGCTCAGAGCCCATTGTTAGCTACATAGCAAGGTCAAGGCCAACTTAGGATACACGAGACCCTATTTCAAAAAGGGAAAAAGGTATTTCAGGCTGTCTATGTAGGGACAGGTTAATCTCTGACAATATTATCACTGTTATCTGAGAGAAACCTTAACACCATACATTTTTCTTTTATGTTAAGTACATTCAGTTAATATTGAAGATGTGAATTTTCAGAGCTTTTCTAGTATAGACATAAAGAAGTATAATGAACCCATGGTTCTCATCAGCATCAAAAATTAGCTACATTTTAATGCCAGGTGCCAGGGTATAAGCCTGTGATTCAAGTACTTGTTGATCCTCAGCTACATAGCAAATTCAAGATCTGCCTGGGCTTTTAAATAGATGGGCTCAACTGCTCCCACACACATACACACTATATTGTAGCAACAATTTGCCATCTTGTCCTTTCCCACCATGCCCAGCTTGTTTGGGTATTGTTGCTTTTAATATTTTATTTTTGTGTGTGTGTGTGAGTGTATTGCCTGCATGTATGTAAGTGCACCGGTGTTGTGTAGTGTCTGCATGTATGTAAGTGTACCTATATCGTGCAATACCAGGGAGGTCAGAAGAGAGTGTCAGATCCCCTGGAACATGGTTGTTAGCTGCCATGTCGTTGCTGGGGACCGAACCCCACGTCCTCTGCAACAGCAGCCAGTGCTCTTAACTGTTGAGCCATTTCTCCAGCCCTGTTTTCTGTAGCCATGGCTGGCCCTGTAATTGCTATGTAGCCTAGGCTGACTTCAACCTTGTGACAGTTTTCCTGCCTTCACCTCCCACGTGCTGGGGTTACAGGTATGCACCACCATGACTGGACACAAATGTGAATTTTTTTCATTTATTGTATGTGTCTGTCTGCCTCTGTGCCATGGTACACATAAAATCAAAGAAGAACTTGTGGGAGTCATTCTCGAACTCAGGTCATCAGACTTGGTGGTAAGTGCCTTTATCCACTGAGCCATCTTGGGTTTTTTTTGTTTTTGTTTTTGTTTTGGGGCTTTTTGAGAAAGGGTCTCCCTGTAGCCACAGCTGGCCTGGATTTGCTATGGAGACCAGGCTGGCCTCAAACTCAACGAGATCAGCCTGCCTCTTCCTCCCAAATGGTGGAATTAAAGGTATGAGCCACCACACCTGGCATCACTGAGCCATCTTGACAGCTGCCAAAGGTGAAAAATTTAAATTCATTACATGTCTGCATTTGTTGCAGGGTGGTGCACATATGACTTGCCGGCA